ATGATAGGTCCCTACACAGAAAACATTAAATTTATATTAAGAAATTATATAATTTAAATGATGCTTTATAACTTTAGTTAGATCAAATAAGGTATTCGGGGTAAAATTTGTTGGTAAATAAGACAAAAATTATATTTTAAACTGTCATTTCCAGTGAAACTTTGGAAAACCAGTCATGAATATGGGAGGCTTTTTTCATATTCGACAAAGCAAATGTATCCAAATTGCCTTCAGTCTTTCAGAAAAGTATAATTTATATGTTCATAGCCTTTTTTAAAATAATGTTAAATTAAATATAGGTATCGATACTTTTCATGTAATTTCAAATTGAATTCCTTGAAAATAATTTTCTACATAATTCTATTAGAGCCGTAAAGTACGGGAAAACGGAAAGTTGAAAGTACATTTTCTTTGTCTGATATGGAAATACTCCCATATTAACTGCCAAATTTTCTTAATTTTTCATTGGAAAATGACAGAAAGAATATGCCCCAAAACACTTTATTTGACCAAGCTAGTTAAAAAGCATCATTATAAAGGAATTTATTTTTCTTTGATAAATATGTAGGCATATTTCATTTAAAATCCTGACCTTAAATCTTCGTTCAAAAATTTAAAGTTATTCTTTGTGCAAACAGCTACAACAAGATACCTTTGGTCTGAGGCAATTTTGGAGTTTAATTAGATCCGCTCCTCAAAAGCGCTCTTCAGTGCACGAAGGTAGGAAACTGAGTGTTTACAAAAGATGGAAAGCTCCAAAAAGTTGCCTATTTTATAAGATTTTTGGAGCTATCTGGGCGCAGGACACGACTTGGTATAAATAAAATAAACGGGTATGTTATATTAAACCCCATAAATTTATAAAAATCAGGAATCCATATTGAACTCACTTCATACTGCGGTTAGATGTTTTCGCAGCCATCTGACTGACTTTTTATCTACCTTGCAAAAATTAGGCCAGTGTTTACATTCAGTGTTTTTGACATAGTGGTCTTTGACAACTTTCATTTGGAAATGTGTTTTAGTATTCATGATTAGACCTTAAAATTATATATTTTTTGAAAAATTTAAATCATTGCTGAATAATTTAATGAATTACTAAAATTAGTCTTGGTAAGCATGGTCAGGTCCAGCACAATTTCTTGATTTACATAATTTAGCTATATTTATTACACACTTAGTAATAAATACAGGTTTTTTGCATATGCGATTATGGCTGATGTAACCATATAGCTGTATCAGCCCTGCAGGGCTGATATGGATTTGCAGGGCTGATATTAAACCTATCAGCCCCGCAAATCCATATCAGCCCTGCAGGGCTGATACGGCTATAATGTGACGTCAAAATCACATCCTCAGTAAATTAAACCACAAAAACAGTACTTGTGATCATTCACAATTTTTGGTAGGTTCATATTCTTCTTAATTTTAACTTTTTGAAAATAAGGTTATCTTAATTTACAAATACACGAATAGATTATTTTCAAATTACGGATCGAGTGCATTGAGATAGAAGTAGAAACAAACCCAAATCGTATGAGCGATAGACCATATATTATACATGTATGTAAGAAGTCCATGCATAATTATTTACTTATTTTCTTCTCAACCTAATGTATGCTGTATTTTATTACTTAAGTATGTAATAAACATATTAATACATACCCTTTTCCATATCACATCCTGTATCAGCCCTCGACCAATATCAGCGCTAGGAAAAGGGTATGTATTATTCTCTATATATTTATCAAGCCATTCCGAATATAGCTTGATTTAGCTATATTGTCTCACTTTATCTTCGTAAATTAAAGTGGTTTAATTTTTTTAAAAATTGGAGAAACTATGAAAAAAAATTTGCTCTTAGTAGTGTCTCTGGAAAGATTAAAAATTATAACAGTATAACATGTATAAGTTTCACTGTTCAATAAAGAGTTGCATGGAAGGGTTATTTCCTACTGATTTACACCTTTATCATGTTTATATATCAATATTGAAAAAAGATCTAAAACATGTAAAACTTTATTTTTTTAAAATCTGATTCTGTCTGCATTCATTCAATGTAACTGGGTCCTTCTACAGCAGGCCATGGAGTATGATGAGGAGGTTATTTTTTCCTGATTATAATTACACAAAAAAACCAACTTTACACTCACAACTCAGCTGTACAACTAAGTGAGCAAACAACAGAAGAGAGCTGTAGAGTAGAGTGCAGTGTCTTACTTGTAATCAATGGGTGACCAGGATCTGTTCAGGGGAAAGAAACAAGTATGGAAAATTGATGGAAACTGGCATCTGGGTATGTACTAACCTGATGTTAAGTAAAGATGAAAGTTGAATATAGAGGTTTAAAAGTGCTTAAAAAATAAACAAACAATACGCGAGTTTCGAGATTGTAACTCTCCTACGAAAGAGGCGCAAAAAGTATCCATTTCAGCATGGAGGTGGGATAGGTTGTTTCTGTATACAAACGTACCTAAGTAAATGTACAATATTTAAGGCTTATAAAATTTATGAAATCTTATAGAAAGATAATAATGTAAAGCAGTGATGCATTTGATGATTTTATCAAGCTCAACTATGCATATTTGCAATTTTACTTTGAATTATAAGGTACTTAATAACGAAAGAAACGTGGAGTCTGTATAATTTATGATTTTCTTGATTGTACAAACATTTTCTAAACAATTAGTGTTTTTTAAAAGTTATAATAAGGAAAAGAAGAATATGTAATTTAGATTGCCAACATGCAATGATCAGATGTATGTATTTTAATTTATTAACGGTCTTCTATATCTCTTCCCTCGTCTAAAACTCTCGCATCCACTGATATTTTCTTTTTTGTTACGATTTTTTTGCTTTAAAAATTGATATCTTTACATTAATTCGGTTATTCCCGAGTAGTTGAGTGCATCCTGACAATAATGAAGTGATGATAACCAGCAGATTATATCTATCGATATATCCAATATATAAATAATAAATATCTGTCCCACCTGTCTGTTTACGTGGCAACGAAACTCCCTCCTCAGCGAAAGAGCGCAACAAGGGAGATAATCTTGAAACTTGGGTATTAAACAAGTTTTACAAAAAGGAGGATTTTCATTATACAGTGGAGCTTTTCTGAGACGCTTTGGTTCCTAGTCAATTTTGCCGGATATGTGAAGCGTCCGGATATCTGAATTACCATTTAAACAAAACAAAATAGCATTAAAAAGTTCTGTTCCCATGAAAAGTCGTCCGGATACTCAAGCATCCGGATATCTGGAGTCCGGATATCTGAAGGTCCACTGTAATTTGATGATTTGATTTAAACCAAAAAATTCAGGGAAAGAAACATTTTTAAATGCATTCATCCAGTATCCAAGTTTTAGTCTCTATGGATCGAGAGGATTAATTGAAATCAATCATACTAAAATATTGATCGAATTAAAATCCTAACTTTCCTAATACCTATATGTTTCTTGAAAAAATGCCTACAAGAAACAAGCATTATGTATACTGTACAAGAATTTAAAATAATGTTTTCCCCTTTGCATGTAACAAGTGTATGTACACCTTACCTGTATTTCACCTGTCCTTTTGACAGACAAGCAGTTCATTCGTGTGTGTAAATGTGAGTCCACAGGCACCGTCCTGGACCCTTACCACTGTACTCGGTGTACAGACACCTTTGCTTCCTACCTGGATTACCTGTCTCACACCTGTACACCTCAGAGACTGTACCAGTGCTGCTCCTGTAGACACCTGTATGGGACTGAGGAGGAGTTTGACTCTCATGACTGTAGACCGTGTCGATATCCATCTGACAGTGTAGACGATTACGGTGAGTAGGAACGGCACTCTGTACTGTAAACCAACTACTGTAAACCATCTATTATTCATTTATTTACGTCATCTTTTATTTTAGATTCATCAGTTTGCAATCAGTCTGCGACGTTTTATTTTCTTTCGTAGGAAACTTTCTCTACCAATATAAAGCTTATTAAATAAGAAATGGTTCAAAGTGATAAATATTCATATTAAGTAAAAGTAGGTCGCGGAACTCACAGATATTTCTCGCATGCAAAATCAATTTAGGAATGTTTTAAAGTTTTTAAGCTAGCACTTCATGAACAATATATGCCTACGTGCAAGTCTTGTATGATTCAGATTTACACGCCAATAACTCACACTAAACTTAAAAACATTCCTTATATTTACATTTTACATGTCTAAAAGCACCTAAAATATACTCAATATTTGATCTTCTTGCTGACCTATATTGTTTTATTTTTACTAACATCTCTGTAGCCTCATTGTGAAATCACGTTATTGCATGTTTTTCTGTGTATATTTCTACACTTGAGTATACACTAAAATGATATTCAAGTAAATTTCACAGTTGGCTTACTAGAAAAACACAGGAAATGTAAATATATCTATAGTTGGATAACAGTATTCAGCTGAAGGCACCCTATACAGTGCAGGTTCTTCTGATTTTCTTCCATCATAGATAATAAGATTGATTGATTGTATGTTGTTTAACGTCCTTCTCGAGAATTTTTCACTCATTTGGAGACGTCACCCTATGCCGGTGAAGGGCTTCAAATTTAGACCTATACTCGGCACTCAGGGCCATTGAGTAGTGAGGGTTCTTTATCGTGCTTACGCGTACCTTGACACGGGACCTACATTTTTAAGGTCATATTCAAAAGACCTGTAACTTTCACTTCTATTGCCTTGTGCTTGGCGAAGGAACCGTCACAACCTATGTTTATATCTTAGATATGACGTGGCCCCGCGAACGATAATCAAGCCCGGGCCTCCCTATCACGAAGCGAATGCTCTACCTATATTCTTATTTATTTAGTCCCCAAAATTACAAGTATTCAGATTGTTACATGTACCTTAAAAACAAATGATAATTTTATGGTTTAAGATCCACTTTCGATATAATGGCTGATTTTGTCATGAATTAGAATATCCTAGGGCTTATTGAATTCCATAAAAACATGTGCATTGTGTAGACATACAGCATTTTATATATAAGACAGTTCTTTGCAGTTTTAAAGAAAACCAAAAATTTTTATTTTAGCATACTCAGACACTTCCATTGGGGGAGAAATTGACTTGCCTTTAGAAACAATGAAGCACACAAACTCCCCAGGCATTTTCAGTGCCTCAGCCCAAGAAAATAGTGATGGACTTCTACAAAAAATAAAGAAAGAGGAGATTGATAGTGATGCAGACAGCTCACAGACTGAAGAAATGGAAGGAGATACAGATAATGGTAACATGACTGACCTCCATGATAATGAGGGGGGTCTACATGCAATGGGTCTAGAGAGTGCTTCACATTCTCAAGATCATCAGGCGACAAGTGCTTCAAACGGTGACATCGCTACTGAATCTCAAGAACAAGCCCTGCAGGAAGCAGGGGTTCTTCAAGATAAGAATAAAAGAAGACAAGAGTTTTCACCGGCAATGTAGAGAAAAGAAGAGGGTCACTGGAACAAGTGAGAAAGAGAAAACAGGGAAGGGAACATTGGGTCATCAAGCAGGACGTGGAAGGTCTGAATGAGGTTATTCTGAGTCAGATCGCTGGTGAGGAGGGCGGGCAGGCCAAGGAGGAGAGAGAGCCTAATCAGTGAAGTGGTGAATTCAGAGATTCAAAGGACCATGAGCACCAAATGGAAGAATGGCAGAGAGGAAACAGAGGCAGGTGATCCAATGACTGGAAGTGAAGGAGAGATGGACCTTTCAGTGGTTAAAACAGATAAACATATCACTGAGTTGAGCAGAAACAGTCTATTTACAACGTCATGTTCTGAAGAGGTTTCACACAGTCAAAGTGGGCCTCATAATGAGAGTCCTGAGGTTCCATTAATAGAGTCTAATGAGAAAGAAGATTCAAGAGGTAAAAGGAAATGCACAGATTGAGTAAGTCCAGTAGAAATACTGCTGCGGGATCTGGTCAGTCTGAGGCAAAGTTAGTTTTTCAGAAACTAGGAATATCAAACATCCCAAATCCTGGTAAAGAATTCAAAGTCTTTAAACTTATGGCTTCAGATCCATTCAAAGACGCGAAAAGCACCAGCATTGTCTCTCCTGTTCAACACCCTAAGCCTGTAACATCCACTCCAACAAAAGGTGTCAGAAATAACAGATCTCTTATAAAGCTTCTGTCCACTCCTCCCACTGATTATACCAGTCAACACGCACTACAGACTAGTTTACTTCCTTGTAATAATGTTTTCTCACCATTTGCAAATAGCAATGTTCCAAGTTCCTCTCAAACTGGGCAAAATCCCTACTAGTGATGAGGGGCTTTGCTTCAGCATCAGGATTATCAACATTAACAAATGATTCTATAAGCACATCACAACAAGAGGAAAATACCGATTCCCAGTTTAGTGAGGAGGGTCCAGACATTTCCATTGTTAAAAGTGAACAAATGTATGAATCTGATAATGATTCAGAACACGTGGATGATGTTCCACAAACCCCAAACACTGAAATGGAACCAACCATTACCAATATTAAGAGTGAACCAATGGACGACTATTCCTATAATGTTCCACCTACACAAGTTACCAATAGTGACCATGCTGTAGAGGGTCAAAGGTCCATTATAAAGAGTGAGCCCATGGACAGTATGTTTGATGTTCCACAAACACAAGATAATTATATTGACAGTACCATAGAGGGTCAAAACCCTATTATCAAGAACGAGCCTATCGATGATTCCTATAATTTTAGCGCTGGTTATTCAGTAAACCAAAATGACACTCCTGAAGCCATTGAAGAAAGTATACTCTTCACAAATTTGAAGAAAGAGCCTGAAAATGATTCCTCTAATTTTACACAAAATCAGTATGATATTCCTCGTTCTGGAGTCACCGCCAAAGGTTACGGAAACTTAACCGCTGTTAAAACTGAACCAGGGGAGGAGTCATCTGACTTAAGTTCTTGTTATTCAGATTACCAAAATGTTCTGCATTCTCAAGTCTCGGAAGAGAAGCAGAATCTGGCTATTGTTAATGCTGTTAATGCTGCACTAGAGAATTCAGGAATTCCTCCAGAACTCTTGTATGGAGAGAACAAGAGAGGACACAGACCTTACCAACAGAGAAAAGGACTGGTTCAGATACAGGACAGTTTTGGCTCTACAACTGTAAAACTTGTGGAAAGAAATTCAAACATGCTGGAACATTAATGGTGAGTAAATTATTCCCTTAAGGTTCTCTGACCCCAAGGTAATAGAGGTAATTCCCACTGTGGGAACAATGACTCTCATTCAGTTTCAATAATATTTCCACACTCATGTCAATATTTTTCAATTCATGGTTACATTAGCCTGAAGTGGTTCAAAATATCTCTTTGTATGATTGATATTCCTTTGAGAATAAAGAAAACACAGTGAACATGATGTCCCTAAACAACCCAAAAGCACCCTAAGTGTGTTGCTAGCTATAAGATACACTGGAACATGAACTGAAATCTTTAATTTTATCCCTGACAGGTACACGAGCGAGCGCACAACCTGGAGAAGAAGCAGTTTCAGTGTTTTATATGTTATTTTGCTGTTGACAGGTACACGAGCCAGCGCACAACCTGGAGAAGAAGCAGTATCAGTATTTTATCTGTTATTTAACACCAGACAGGTACACGAGAGAGCGCACAACCTGGAGAAGAAGCAGTATCAGTGTTTTATCTGTTAATTTACTACTGATAGGTACAGGAGCGAGCACACAACCTGGAGAAGAAGCAGTATCAGTGTTTTATCTGTTATTTTACTCCTGATAGGTACCCGAGCGAGCACACAACCTGGAGAAGAAGCAGTATCAGTGTTTTATATGTGGGAGGATCTGTACAGCAGCAAGCTACCTTAAAGTTCATCTCAGGAACCACAAAGAGGAGCCCTCAGACACCACAAAGAGAAAGATTCAGTAAGTACATTCTAATTTAAATTAATAGAAGGTAAGGAGAAGATTTTATCAGTTAAACTCATGCTGCTTCAACAAGAGAATGTGACATCGAACAATTGGATGGGGTTAACTCTTGATTTAGGCCATCTTTAAAAAATTGTTTGTTTGCCCTCTCTTGGCTAAAAATGTCAGTCTCAAAAATTTTAACCTCCAGGAATGATATATTTATCTATTTTTTTTCCCTTTGAATCTTGCATTGTCAACAACTTTCCCACAGCACCTACTTACTGATCTCATTTTTTATTTTTACTTTGAGTCATGGGAAAGCAAACACACAATATTTTGAGAATGGTCTTACTTTTAACATGTTTAAATAAAATGTATAAAATAAAACACTTAAACTTAAGGTTGAGATATTTTAATTCCAGATGTTTTAAATGTGATGAACAATTCCTCCACGAAAAGAACTTCCAGACTCACATGAGGATGCACTTTCAGAAAGGGGCTGACTTACTGTATCAAGTGTGGGAAAGGGTTCTACCGCAAAAACCAGCTAGACAAACACATGGAGAATCACACAGGTAAATATAGTCACTAGACAAACACATGGAGAATCACACAGGTAAATATAGTCACTAGACAAACACATGAAGAATCACACAGGTAAATATAGTCACCCGCTAGAAAAACACTTGGAGAGTCACACAGGTAAATATAGTCACTAGCTAGACAAACACATGGAGAATCACACAGGTAAATATGGTCACTAGATAAACACTTGGAGAGTCGTACAGGTAAATATAGTCACTAGACAAAACACATGGAAAATCACACCAGTAAATATGGTCACTAGACAAACACATGGAAAATCACACCAGTATATGGTCACTAGACAAACACATGGAGAATCACACAGGTAAATATAGTCACTAGACAAACACATGGAGAATCACACAGGTAAATATAGTCACCCGCTAGACAAACACTTGGAGAATCACACAGGTAAATATAGTCACTAGCTAGACAAACACATGGAGAATCACACAGGTAAATATGGTCACTAGATAAACACTTGGAGAGTCGTACAGGTAAATATAGTCACTAGACAAACACATGGAAAATCACACCAGTAAATATGGTCACTAGACAAACACATGGAAAATCACACCAGTAAATATGGTCACTAGACAAACACATGGAGAATCACACAGGTAAATATAGTCACTAGACAAACACATGGAGAATCACACAGGTAAAAATAGTCACCCGCTAGACAAACACTTGGAGAATCACACAGGTAAATATAGTCACTAGCTAGACAAACACATGGAGAATCACACAGGTAAATTGGTCACTAGATAAACACTTGGAGAGTCGTACAGGTAAATATAGTCACTAGACAAACACATGGAAAATCACACCAGTAAATATGGTCACTAGCAAACACATGGAAAATCACACCAGTAAATATGGTCACTAGACAAACACATGGAGAATCACACAGGTAAATATAGTCACTAGACAAACACATGGAGAATCACACAGG